ACAGGCCAATATCCCTGATGAATATGGATGCAAAAATTCTCAATAAGATACTAACAAATCGAATTCAACAGCATATAAAAAGAATTATTCACCATGATCAAGTGGGATTCATTCCTGGTATGCAGGGCTCGTTCAACATTTGCAAATCAATCAACGTGATACATCACATTAATAAAAGAAAAGAGAAGAACCATATGATCCTGTCGATGCAGAAAAGGCATTTGACAAAATTCAGCAACGTTTCTTAATAAAAACCCTCGAGAAAGTTGGGATAGAAGGAACATACTTAAAGATCATAAAAGCCATTTATGAAAAGCCCACAGCTAACATCATCCTCAATGGGGAAATACTGAGAGCTTTTTCCCTGAGATCAGGAACACGACAGGGATGTCCACTCTCACTGCTGTTGTTTAACATAGTGTTGGAAGTTCTAGCATCAGCAATCAAACAACAAAAGGAAATCAAAGACATCAAAATTGGCAAAGATGAAGTCAAGTTTTCACTTTTTGCAGATGACATGATAGTATACATGGAAAACCCGATAGACTCCACCAAAAGTCTGCTAGAACTGATACATGAATTTAGCAAAGTTGCAGGATACAAAATCAATGTACAGAAATCAGTTGCATTCTTATACACCAATAATGAAGCAACAGAAAGACAAATAAAGAAACTGATCCCATTTACAATTGCTCAAGAAGCATAAAATGCCTAGGAATAAATCTAACCAAAGATGTACAAGATCTGTATGCTGAAAACTATAGAAAGGTTAAGAAGGAAATTGAAGAAGATAAAAAGAAATAGAAAAACATCCCGTGCTCATGGATTGGAAGAATAAATATTGTCAAAATGTCAATACTACCCAAAGCTATCTACACATTCAATGCAATCCCAATCAAAATTGCACCAGCATTCTTCTCGAAACTAGAACAAGCAATCCTAAAATTCATATGGAACCACAAAAGTCCCCGAATAGCCAAAGGAATTTTGAAGAAGACCAAAGCAGGAGGCATCACAATCCCAGACTTTAGCCTCTACTACAAAGCTGTAATCATCAAGACAGCATGGTATTGGCACAAAAACAGACACATAGACCCATGGAATAGAATAGAGAACCCAGAAATGGACCCACGAATGTATGGCCAACTAATCTTTGACAAAGCAGGAAAGAATATCCAATGGAAGAAAGGCAGTCTCTTTAACAAATGGTGCTGGGAGAACCAGACAGCAACATGCAGAAGGTTGAAACTAGACCACTTTCTCACACCATTTACAAAAATAAACTCAAAATGGATAAAGGACCTGAATGTGAGACAGGAAACCATTAAAACACTAGAGGAGAAAGCAGGAAAAGACCTCTCTGACCTCAGCCGTAGCAATTTCTTACTTGACACATCCCCAAAGGCAAGGGAATTAAAAGCAAAAATGAATACTGGGACCTTATGAAGATAAAAAGCTTCTGCACAGCAAAGGAAACAACCAACAAAACTAAAAGGCAACCAACGGAATGGGAAAAGATATTTGCAAATGACATATCGGACAAAGGGCTAGTATCCAAAATCTATAAAGAGCTCACCAAACTCCACACCCGAAAAACAAATAACCCAGTGAAGAAATGGGCAGAAAACATGAATAGACACTTCTCTAAAGAAGACATCCGGATGGCCAACAGGCACATGAAAAGATGCTCAACGTCGCTCCTCATCAGGGAAATACAAATCAAAACCACACTCAGGTATCACCTCACGCCAGTGAGAGTGGCCAAAATGAACAAATCAGGAGACTATAGATGCTGGAGAGGATGTGGAGAAACGGGAACCCTCTTGCACTGTTGGTGGGAATGCAAATTGGTGCAGCCACTCTGGAAAACAGTGTGGAGGTTCCTCAAAAAACTAAAAATAGACCTACCCTATGACCCAGCAATAGCACTGCTAGGAATTTACCCAAGGGATACAGGAGTACGGATGCATAGGGGCACTTGTACCCCAATGTTTATAGCAGCACTCTCAACAATAGCCAAATTATGGAAAGAGCCTAAATGTCCATCAACTGATGAATGGGTAGAGAAATTGTGGTTTATATACACAATGGAGTACTACGTGGCAATGAGAAAGAATGAAATATGGCCCTTTGTAGCAACGTGGATTGAACTGGAGAGTGTGATGCTAAGTGAAATAAGCCATACAGAGAAAGACAGATACCATATGTTTTCACTCTTATATGGATCCTGAGAAACTTAACAGAAACCCATGGGGAGGGGAAGGGGAAAAGAAAGATATTAGAGTGGGAGAGAGCCAAAGCATAAGAGACTCTTAAAAATTGAGAACAAACAGGGTTGATGGGGGGTGGGAGGGAGGAGAGGGTGGGTGATGGGTATTGAGGAGTGTACCTTTTGGGATGAGCACTGGGTGTTGTATGGAAACCAATTTGACAATAAATTTCATATATTGAAAAAAAAATGACTGTCATGCAGGAAGAAGTTTATCATACAGTTCCCTAGAAACAGAAGGCACACCCTGCAGGGACCATACAAGGAAGCACCAAGATTGTTCAGGCAGTGTAGTCAGCAAAGGGTAACATGGACAAAAACTTCCGTTGTTGTTTCTTTGGGGAGGAATGGGTAAGGCAAGGTAAGCAGGTCTTGGATTGGCTCATTTAAATAATTTCAGCAGTCTTTCTCACATGGAGGCTGTACCTAGTTGTCTGGTACTTAACTCTGTTGTGGTTTGGGCAGATGAAGAGTGTCCTAGGGTATGTCAGCCTAATAAAAGAAGGGATAGGGCATATGGGCTCTAGGTTCATTGATTTGCATATGAAAGATACACTTGCAGGTAAGTTGTTTACTATTTTAAGAAATTGGGTAACCCTGGGATGGGAAGTCTAGCATTGGCAAAGCCCCAGATATTAAAGCATCACAATACATAAAATAAAATACATCATTAATACAATTAGCCCATTAATACAGTTTGATACATTACCAAATTTAAGGGGTAATAGAAGACTTGTATATAGTAGGGCAAAAGTTGTGTGAAACAGCGCAGAAAACATTTTATTATGAGTAAAAGGGAGAAACACAGGTAGAAGTATAAGAAGTCTTAGAAGTGAAATGTGTTTCTTAGTTAATATTGTTGATCTCTATAACTCTGGAGGGGATGCGGAATGTCCTGGCAAGTCATTGTATACTGTCCTAAGAGCTGCTCCTGATGAAAAGCTTGGATGGAGGAAGAAGGTGGTGCTTGAGTTCAAGCAGTTTTCAACTAAATGAAATTGCTTTTCTCTGAAGGTGGACTGAAATGTCTGATGCACCAGTTGATTGCTTTAGTGTCTGTAGTTGAACTATTAAGCAGCCAGCACAATATTGTGGGATGGAAAATTTAGAAACGTCTTCATGGATCATGGATGCCTTCTCTGAACTCTTCTTTATTTGCCATCTGTTCATAGTGCTTTAGCCTGGGTCATCAGGAACCCATCACTTTTTTTTAAGACTATTTTTTTTAGAACAGTTTTAGATTTACCACAAAACTGAGGGTAAAGGTACACAGATTACCCATATACCTCCTGTCCCTAACATGCACAGCCTTCTGTATTATCCACATCCCTCACCAGAATGGGATATTTTTGTACTAAGGATGAACCTCATTGACCCATCAAAATCACCCAAAGTCCATAGTTTACCTTAGGGTTCAGTCTTGGTGTTGTACATAAGTTAGGGCAAAAGATGATAGATATCTATCATTTATGGTATTATAACAAGTGTTTTCACTCCCCTAAACATCCTCTGTGTTCTGCCTATTAATTTCTCCCCTCCCTGTCTGCAACCACAGAGCTTTTTATTGTCTCCACAATTTTGTTTTTTTCTGGAAGTCATACAGTTGGATTCTACAATATGTATTCTTTTCAGATTGGCCTTTTTTCACTTAATAATATGCACTCAAGCTTCCTCCATTTCTTTTGATGACTTGATAGCTCATTTGTTTTTAGTGCTTAATAACATTCTGTTGTCTAAAATGTGCCACAGTTTATCTGTTCACCTACTGAAGGACATTGTGGTTGCTTGCAAGTTTTGGGAATTATGAATGAAGCTTCTGGAAACATCTTTGTGTAGAAATTGGAAACTATCCAAAGATGAACAATATACCTATTGAGGGTGTTTTGGTTTTCTATTGCTATGTAACCAATTATGCCAAAACTTAAAGAGATAAAAACAAGAGAGTTCTGTGGGTCAACAATTGAGGAGCAGCAGACAGGGTTATCTCATGGTTCAGCATGGGCAGGATTTTCTTCCAAACTTAGTCATTTGGCTGTGGTAGACCTCAGAAAATCTGTTTCCAAACTCATTCCTGTGGGCCTCTCTACAGGACTACTTCATGACATAGTAGCTGGCTTCCCACAGAGACTGAGATCTAGAATCCAAAAAGTCAGTCTTTTTATAATCTGTCTTGGAAATGGTCAACCATCTGTTCCTCTACATTTAGTTAATTAGAGGCAAGTCAAAAAGTCCAGTTTACACACAATGGAATGGAAATACTCATAGACATGAATACCAAGAGGTAGATATCTTTGGGACTCATTTTAGAGTCTGCCTACTGGAGAGAGAATGTAAAATTGATTATTAAAATAAAAGATTAAAGTCATTTTCTTTAAAATAACTCAAAGAGGCAACATAATATGGTGTTTGAGACTCAGTTGGATTAGCTAAGATAGCTGATATTGTCATGAATAGTATTTTGAAATTAAACTACTGTGTTTACTTATCTATGTTTAATAAATCTATTATCCAAATGTTTATATAACTCTACTACAATTGCATTTACATAGGCATCTTGGATGCATTGATTTAAAAAATGAGTTTTATGTACTAATTTTTTTACTATAATTGTATTTAGAATAGTATATATATAATATACACTAATTTTTTATAGTATAGTAATTTTAATTTTGTTATAGTATAGTATACTATAGTATTCTTAGCTAACTCTTTTCTTTTTCCTTGTCTTTAGTATCCAGAGGATTTATCCCTGGAGTCATATACTATCAGTATTGTGCAGTTGCTTGGCTTTAATCTGGGATTGAGTTATGACAATCCTGACACTTGTTATTGTTCAGAAGATGTTTGCACAATGTCACCTAAAGCAGTGTGAGATAATTTTCTTTATTACACATGTTCCTTTATTTATTTATTTTTGTTTGGTTAGGACCTTTTGCACTTCTATTAGCCAAACTGAAGTAATTGACAATTATAGAACACTATACCTAACAACCACAGAATACACATTTTTCAAGTACAGCAGAACACAAACCAAAATAGGCCCACCACCTCCCCCATGTGTCTCCATGCCTGGAGAAACTCTCTTCCTCCTTCCTGCATTCTGGAGTCTGACTTGTATTTTTCTCCCCTGGCCAGATTGAAAGCACCCTCAAAGGAAAAGCCATATGAATTGTGTAATTTCAGTGATTGTGCATAAAGCTAAATTAAATGCTTTGATATTTGCATTTAAAACTGGCATTGTATGGTATAGGGATGAGTGGTACAATTCATGTTAGTAGTTTCAATTAAGAATTTTTTTTATTTAGAAAGACATTAAATTGTAAATAAATAATAACACCATGACCCATTGAAAGACTGCTGAAGAAAGGAAAAAAACCTTTATTTTAGAACCATTAATAATACATATTCCCTGCTCTATTTCTTAAATATATTTTTAAAGTTTATTTATTTTGAGAGAAAGAGAGAGAGAGAGAGAGAGAGAGAGAGAGAGAGAGAATGCACAAGTGGGGGAGGGACAGACAGAGAGGGAGAGAGAGAATCCCAAGCAGGCTCTGTGCTGTCAGTGCAGAATCCAGCGTGGAACTCAATCCCATGAACCGTGAAATCATGACCTGAGCCAAAATCAAGAATCAGATGCTCCACTGACTGAGCCACCCAGGCACCCCTTCTGTTGGTTTTTTCATCATTTCAACATTCTATTTGTTTCATATATTTTTCTCCTGATGTTCATGCTTTTTGTCCCTAAGAAGTATTTGGTCTACTTTTTACTACACACCTATTGCCCAGGAGAGTGCTCAGTAAATATGTTGCAAACAGTGACTAAATCAGCTCAGTATATTTTCTCATTATTTCATTTTATCCTTTGATTACTGAATCCATGATACCCTGAAGTTTTGTAAAGGCACAAAGTAGATAATAACTAAATTTATTTCTTATTCCTTGGATAAGTGGTTACTCAGAAGAATATCCATTCTTTCACCATCTTCTTGAGCATTTTATTTATAAACTTTATAAAAATTCAACTTTGTCAAGGTATGTTTTTTGCTGCAATAAAATTTGTGCACTGTAAGTGTACAAGTTTATGACTTTTGACAAATACATAAATATCTTTGAGCCACAGTATCAGTGAGATTATGCAACAGTTTCATTTCCCCAAAAGTTCCTTTGTGACCCTTATTGTCCTTCTACCTTTTATCCTTGCCCCAGGCAACAACTGATCTGATTTATTACTACAATTAGTTTTCCTTGCTTCAGAACTTTATGTAAATTGAATTAGTTGTGCTCTATTTTGAGTATTGAATCTATGACTCTGAATTATGTAAACATTTTTCTTTAATTATTTGAATATTTATAGTGCTTTAATTTAGGTATTTGTATGCCAAATCGTAACATCTGGACCATCTCAGTTTTGATTTCTTTTGACTGCCTTTTTTTTTTACATTGACTATGGATCACATTTTTTATTTCTTTGTGTTCCTGTTGTTGTTATTATTATTATTAGCATATTAGATATTTTTGATAATACAATAGAAAGCTTGGATGCTCCTACCTTCCTCTGAAAAGCATTGATTCTTGGAAATTCAATTATTGGCTAATTATATTGAATTTTATATGCTTGGTTTTACACTTTGTTAATATGGATCTATAGAAAGCTCAGGGTATTTTAAAACCCCTATAACTTGGCCGGATTGAACTTCCAAATTCACTCTCTTCTGGGGATCTTGTCAGGGTTTGAATTTAGGCTCTATTGGAATTGAGATAGAGTAGATTCTAGTTAGGGCAGAGGTCAGCAAACAACAATCCCCGAGCTAATTTCGGTGGTAGCCTGTTTGTAAATAAAATTCTATTGAAATACAGCTAGACTTATTGTTCTACCTATTGTTTATGGTTGCTCTTGTACTACAGTGGCAGAGTTGAGTAGTTGTACCACAGTCTATGGCATATTAGTCTATAATATTTATTGCCTGGCCCTTTACAGAAAAAGCTTGTCACCCCCTGGTCTAGGACATAATCTTTACTCTTAAGTCAGATTCTTTATAGTGTTTTAGTTGGATGCTGAGCTATTACTAGAGAGCTATTACTAGCTAACAGCTCTCTCACTGTCAAGACAGGTACTTATGGTGCCCCTCCCATTGTGTAGCTCAAACCACAGGTTTTTATTTGAAAAATGTTTAATTATGTTGAACAAAAGCCCTAATATGTACTTAAGTTAATGCAAACATGTTTATATTGGCATTACAAGAAAAATGCAAGACATATTAAAAAAAATTAAAAATGTGCTAAATACTGAGGCTAAACATTTAAAATTCAATTGTTTGGCATTGGCAAAGTAAATAAAGTGAACACAGGTCTTATGTTTAAAGGTTTAATAAATGTCATAAGACAGGTAAATAACACATCTTGTTTAAAACAGGATGAATGGCAATGAAAAGATTTTGGATTTTTTTTTCATTCCAAGAATTTTCATGGTGAAATTTTAAAAATATGGTAAAACATATTATCAATGCAATGAATAGTTTCCAAAATGTGCTTTTTTTCCCATAATGCTTTTTATTTTTTTTTTAATTTTTTTTTTCAACGTTTATTTATTTTTGGGACAGAGAGAGATAGAGCATGAACGGGGGAGGGGCAGAGAGAGAGGGAGACACAGAATCG